TTTCGTCCGTTTGGCTCTACCTCTAACCGTTGAGGCGCCAGACACTGTTTTTCACACGGAAACGACCCTAAACCATTTCAATGTTTTTCCTCAAATATTTCATGGTCTCTGAAGGGTCAACTCGTTAAAATAAAACCCTGGGGAGCAATAATTGTGACTTTTGGGGCCGAAGGCCTATTTACGACTGTTTCTTTTGTCCGACTTGGGTGTCAGCGCCGCAGGCCTAGGTAGATGTATGCCAGGCGCGTCGCAGCGTAACAGTGTTTCGTGAGTTATCGCGAAGCCTGTTACGCGAGAGGTGGTCTGGCGTACATCTACCTAGTTTAAAATATTTGTTTTTATAGTTTCCTAAAGCGTAGCTCATCAAAGTAGAGCCCTTTGAGCGAAAATTTCGTCCGTTTGGCTCTATCTTGAACCGTTTAGGCGCCACAGGGGGGTTTTGACGGAAACAAGCGAAAAAATGCACAACCCTGCATGCTTAGTCGAAGTGACGGGAAGTTGACGGGCCGGAGGCCCGTATCTTGGTGTCAATTTTTAAGCTACCCGACTCGGGTGTCAGCGCCTCAGGCCTAGGTAGATGTATGCCAGGCGCGTCGCAGAGTAACAGTGTTTCGTGACATATCGCGAAGCCTGTTACGCGAGACGTGGTCTGGCGTACATCTACCTAGTACTCCAGTGATGATCAAAAAGTTTCGCGTCTGTCTGTCTGTCTGTTTGTCTGTCATCACGATAACTCGAAAACGAATTGAGCTAGCGACCTGGGATTTTCAGGGTCGTTTTGTATCACAAAAAGACAGATCAAGTTCGAAGTAGAGCATTCTAGCTCAAAAAATGGATTTAAAAAAAATCAAAAACCACAGGTAACCAAAAATGACGTTTTTTAAAAATATTTTTTTAAATGTTTCCTAAGGGGTAACTCATTTAAGTAGAGCGAAAATTTCGTCCGTTTGGCTCTATCTCTAACCGTTGAGGCGCCAGACACTATTTTTCACACGGAAATGACCCCAAACCATTTCAATGTTTTTTCCCAAATATTTCATGGTCTCTGAAGGGTCAACTCGTCAAAATAAAACCCTGGGGAGCAATAATTGTGACATTTGGGGCCGAAGGCCTATTGACGACTCTTTCTGTTGCCCGACTCGGGTGTCAGCGCCGCAGGCCTAGGTAGATGTATGCCAGGCGCGTCGCAGCGTAATAGTGTTTCGTGAGATATCGCGAAGCCTGTTACGCGAGACGTGGTCTGGCGTACATCTACCTAGTATAAGTATACCAACGTCAAAAGCAGCCTGGATAAAAGAAATGTGGGAAGCCAAGAACAAAGAAATGCAAGAAAAGAAGATAAAGGTACACCCGGATGATCCAAGGTTCAACGCAAGGTGCAAGAAATGCAGGGAGCGTTTTCACTTCACAAAGGATTGCACAAAAGGGAAGAAGGAGACACCATAAATTTGTTGTTAATGAATAAATATATTGGAAACCACCATGTTAGTGAAGAGTAAATAGATACACATACAATGTAATAAATATGTTTTAAAACATAAAACAAATAAATGTTTGAATTGGAACGACAAGAGATCATTCAACCCGAAAGGAAACCAACAAACATTAAGGAAACATTAAAGACAAAAATTGATGGCAAGGGAGAATGAAA